TACCGGCGCTACTCTATCATTCAACCCTCATAACTCGCAAAGTACTTAATAAAAATAAACATTATTATAGTGTTTTGGAAAGCTCTTGAATTAAGCTATAAGAATATGCAATCAAATGTAGGGGGTGTCATTTAAAAAAGTCAATGTGACCTTGACCTGACCTTGACGACGCCATCCAAGGTCAAACTGATAGAATCAGTATATAGATCTTCTTAAACCCTACAACTTTTGTTGGAAACACTTTTCTGTAAAACGTATATTTTCCGAGATATTTAGGGGTTTCCACACTTTTGGTAGACCCTGTATATATATATACACTAGGACTGTGAATTAATTTTGAGAGATTTACAATAGATGCTGTAACTTATGCTATATCGCATCGGACACTTCTGTAACTATATTCATGTCAAAGCTCTGTCATTAGGCTTTACTTTTTATTATGTGTCATTTTGCTGAAGTGTAAACAACGTATTTTTTCTCAGCTCCGAATGTGTCGAATTACGAGCCAACAAACCACCATTTGCGGGAAGTTTTACTTTTCCTGTTTAATTCAAAGAAAAGTGCTGCTGAAAGTCATCGAGTGCAGTTGGAAACTTACGATGAACATACATCGATAAAATCATGTGAGTATTGATTTCGACGTTTTAGAAGTGGTGATTTCGATACAGTTGACAAAGAACGTCCTGGTCAACCGAAAAAGTTCGAAAATGAGGAATTGGAAGCATTACTCCACCAAGATTCATGTCAAACGCAAGATGAACTTGCTGAATTGTTGAATGTTGATCGCACAACAGTTTCCAAACGTTTAAATGCACTTGGTATGATTCAAAAGCAAGGAAATTGGGTGCCATACGAATTGAAGCCGAGAGATGTTGAACGGTGATTTTTCACGAACAATTGCTTCAACGGCAAAAAAGAAAGGGTTTTTTGTATCGTATCATCTGGCGATGAAAAATGGATACGCTACGATAATCCTAAGCGTAGAAAATAATGAAGTTTGCCTGGTCATGCATCAACATCGACGGCAAGAATATTCATGGTTCGAACTCATGCTCTGTATTTGGTGGGACCAGCTTGGTGTTGTGTACTATGAGATGCTTCAACCGAATGAAACCATCACTGGTGAACGCTATCGAACACAATTGATGCGTTTGAGCCGTGCATTGAAGGAAAAACGGCCGCAATTCGAGCAGAGGCACGATAAAGTAATTTTTCAACATGACAACGCTCGATCACATGTTGCTCGTGTAGTCAAAAAATATTTAGAAACGCAGAAATGGGATGTTTTACCCCACTCGCTATATTCACCAGATATTGCTCCATCGGATTACTACTTGTTCCGATCCATGGAACATGGCCTGGCTAAGCAGCGCTTCCAATCTTACGAAGATACGAAAAATTGGATCGATTGGTGGATAGCATCAAAAGATGAGTTGTTCTTTCGACGCGGAATCCGTCGAAAGATGGGAAAAAATAGTGGCTAGTGATGGACATTACTTTGAAAAATAATAATGTACACAATTTTTCACAATAAAGCCTTGAATTTACAAAAAAATCCCTCAAAATTAATTTATAGTCCTAGTATATATGTATATATATGTATATATATGTATATATATATATATATATATATATATATATATACAGGGTGTATCAGAGCGACCGTATCAAGCTGGTATTTCGAAAAATACGCATTTACTTGAAAAATTGTTCCGAACAAAAGTTGTAGGACTTTAAGGGGCGCATTACATAGCATGGTTAGTGTGACCTTGGATAGTGTTGTTAAGGATACGGAAAAATCAATTAAAAGTTTTTAAATGGAAACCCCTATTTTTGATTGTATATTCTTATAGCTGACCTCGAGAGCTTTCCAAAACACTATAATAGAGTATTTTTTCATTGAGTACTTTTCGAGTTATGAGGCTTGCAATAATTTTTTAATTTTACATAAATCGTAAAATATCTTGTAAAATATTCATTTTTCGATTATCTTACCTTAATACTTTTATATACAAAATAATGAGAGGAATCAATTGGTGTAAAGAAAACACATAATTGTTTTTAAGAAACAATATGTAATTGTTAATTGCAAATTACATATTTTTTCTTCGAAACAATTATGTGTTTTCTTTACATCAATTGATTCCTCTCATTATTTTGTACATAAAAGTATTACGGTAAGATAATCGAGTAATTAATATTTTACAAGATATTTTACGATTTATGTAAAATTAAAAAATTATTGCAAGCCTCATAACTCGAAAAGTACTCAATGAAAAAATACTTTATTATAGTGTTTTGGAAAGCTTTCGAGGTCAGCTATAAGAATATACAATCAAAAATAGGGGTTTCCATTTAAAAACTTTTAATTGATTTTTCCTTAACAACACTATCCAAGGTCACACTAACTATGCTAAGTAATGCGCCCCTTAAAGTCCTACTACTTTTGTCCGGAACATTTTTCAAGTAAATGTGTATTTTTCGAAATACCAGCCTGATACGGTCGCTCTGATACACCCTGTATATATACTATATATATATATATATATATATATATATATATATATATTCGTATTCCAATGAAGCGGCTCAGTCTCGTTCGTTTGCTAAAAAGGTCGATCTCATTGTATTATGAAATATATTTCCAAATTAATCCTTAACGCATCTCTTACTTATTAATTGAAATTGGAGCGTGTTTTCTTTAATTTAACCTTGGAATATTTTAGTCTTTATTTTTTCTTTAATTTAACCTTGGAATATTTTAGTCTTTATTTTTTCTACAATAATAATAAGTTATTTTTTTCTATATAATTAAAATTGTAACGTACGGTTTTTCGTAGACCGCGGAATCTTTATTTGAGAATAGGTGGATCCAGGTGGCGGAGATAAAATAACGGATTACGTGTATATGTGTAAGAAATGTATTTATTGTAGCTGTGTGTTGGAATGTACAAAGTGTGCGTGTGGAGAAGCCTTCATTGGCGCACAGTACAATTATACACGTTGCAATTGCGCACCGTGCTATTAGACACATAAGATTGCGCATCGTTCGATTGGACACGTTACATTTGCCCACCGTTCAATTGGACACAGTTCTTTTGCGCACCGTTCGATTGGACACAGTTCTTTTGCGCACAGTTCTTTTGCGCACATTACTTTTGCGCACATTACTTTTGCCCACAGTTTTATAAAATGTGGAATCCCAGTTTACGTTGCAAAGTATACGCACAGACTGCACCCCCACATCCCCCCTACGCCGTTGCAAACCCATGTAAAACTTCCCTTTGCATGGAAAAGTATATATGCGCAAAAGAACTGTGGGCAAAAGAACTGTGCGCAAAAGAACTGTATCCAATTGAACAATGGACAAATGTAACGTGTCCAATCGAACAATGCGCAAAAGAACTGTGCGCAAAAGAACTGTGTGCAATTGAACGGTGGGCAAATGTAACGTGTCCAATCGAATGATGCGCAATTTTATGTATTTAATAGCACGGTGCGCAATTGCAACGTGTCCAATTGTACTGTTCGCCAATGAGCCACTCCCATGCGTGTGCGTGTATATGCGTATGTGAATTGTGTAATTACAATGTATGTGTGTGTGCGTGTGTGTGCGTGTGTGTATGTGTAAGCGCGTAAAGTAATCGATAGATTCGATAAACGCGGGAGGATCTCCGGGCGCGAAGTAATTGCCGTAGTTTATAATTGGTGGAAAACCGCGCTTTAACAATGCGTCCACGTTATGTAATTCGATGGATGTGTCACGGATCTTGCGGAGATAGTAGTTTGCTAAAAAGGTCTAAAAATAATTCGATAGTAGTTTGCTAAAAAGGCTAAAAATAATTCGATGCGCGGAATAACGCAATTTACAATATGTGCAAGATGTGATTGCACGATTCCGAGTACGGCGCGTTCGCGTTTTTGCGGACCGTCGGACGTGTTTTTGCCCGCGTTTCTTGTCCGGTGTTTACGTCTCAGCTGTTCGGAGATTTAAAGTCCGGTTATTTAAACGTGTCTATTTCCCCGATGGATGTAGATTTTACAGACGGCGTCGCGACGCTAGCAAGCGTCAGAGGCGGCTCAAGTTCCATCTCGTGATAGGCGCGACGCCTAATATTCGAATGTTGATTCGGAGGCGATTTCTAAGGCGCTGATATTGATTAGTAAAGGCCGCATTTGCACTACCTTCTGGTCTTTTAATTTTGCAAGGATTTCTCGATAGCTTTGCTTACCTTCTAACTATCTGTGCGTCTCAAGAAGGATCGGAAGGATCTGTCCTTCTGTGCTGTCGAGAGCCCGTTTTATACTCGATTAATTACCCGCGCCGGCGTATTCGGTAATTACTCTCACCGAGCGGCGGTAAAAATATTGGAGCAGTTCGGACTGCCGAGCGCGGGTTCTCAACTGCCGGTGTCGACTCCCGATGGCAGTGTCGCAATAATCGATCTCTCGATTCCTACCCGAATGTTACTAAATATTAAAAATGGGCGCATCACGCCTCTGCCTATGCCCGACCGATGTTCATCGGGCTTCCGGCCAGTGTTCGCTGGGATGCATTACGGGGTGCATCGTTATAAAATTAATTTTATGATTTTCCTGTAATAATAAATAAATAATAATAATAATGATAATAATGATGATAAAAATAATGATAATAATAATAATGATGATAATGATAATAATAATAATGATGATAATAATAATGATGATAATAATTATGATGATAATAATAATGATGATAATAATAATGATGATAATAATAATGATGATAATAATAATGATGATAATAATAATGACGATAATAATAATGATGATAATAATAATAAAAGGAACTGTTTATTGCGAGATAAGATTCACATTCATGGCGCAATTTTTTCAATGTTATTATATTTTTGTAGGATATATATTAAAATTATATTAAATTAATTTGTTGTGACGCATGAACTTCGTAACTCTTTTTACCTTTTTGTAAAAAGGTAAATTTTTAGATTACAACTCACCAGACAATATTGCTAGGCCGAAAAGTTCACAATCTCGCATGCCCTGTTGACTGAGAAGTATGCATGTTTGTATATAAACCTCTTTCACTCTTGACTTAGCCTGAAATAACAAAATATACATACGAAACCATTAGAACATTGATGATTAATTAATTCATTCAAAAAAATGGTTTTGCAATTACAACAATAATTTTCTATGTCATGTTTACTTATCTCTATTGGTTTCTATTATTTTTTGCCTTCCTTTTTATAACAAAATTTTGAAACTCAAGATCATTTATTCTAAGAATTAATGTATGTAAACACATGTTATAAAATAAAAATTGAAGCTTCTATTTTATTTTTTACTTTTAAACAGAGAAAAATAATTTGTTTTCAAAAAGTAATTATAATAAATTTATAAGATTTTTATATTTAAAATGACATCAAATATAAATACTATATAAAAAGTATATAATTATAATAAAAAAATTTTTGTTATGTGTTTTATTAAAAATTATGGGTGCTTTTCATTTAGGGACACAAGTGTCATTCTATCTTTGTTTGTTGTTATTTACTAAAAAAGATAGAATGACGCTCGTGTCGACTTGTGTCACTAAATAGAAAGCACTCTGTATATGTGCGCGCGCGTGTGTGTGTGTTGTGTGTGCGCGCGCGTGTGTGTAATCACACATACACATAAATCTTATTAATCTATTACTTTAAAAAAAAAATGCCATAAAATTTTAATTTTTGATTGAGTCGCAATTGTGAGATAAAAAAAATTATAGACCAGTAAAGATAGGGATGTGGAAGGAAGTCGGATGTGTCTACATGTCCATTTGATCAACGAGCGACAGAATCCATCCGTGGCAATATTTTGTGAAGAGAGTATTCACACACTTTTCAGCCCAACGAATAATTGTTATAAAACAATATTCGTGACTAGAAAACTCGACTAGAAAAATATGAGATGCGAATGGCTGGATCGGGAATCGAATCCGAGTTTTTCGATTTCCGGGCAACTGCTCTTTTTTTGATAACCCGGGGGAATTCTTTATCGATACCCTCACCTAAGGAAATCGGATGGGGGTTATAGGAATCAGCGGGATCGCCAGGTCGTTGCCGGGATTCTCAGCAGCGACCTGGCGATCCCGCCGGGTACCCACTAAAAACCCCCGGAGTGGCCTTTTCTACACTGGAGAGACGGGCAGAAACCCGGAACTTGCGGAGCAAGTTTACTTCAGGTTGACCGTGGGCTCCCCTCCGCGTTTGGAATCCGGCGGCGTAGCCGCCGGATTTCTTTCTTGGGGGAAGATATCTCACCCTCTCCCTCGGGCAACTGCTTTAGACCACTACGCTATCCAAATCTCACATTTAATGCTGCTTTTTAACACAGTAATATGCGTCTCCAGAGTGATGTTAGTATCTTGCACGATGGATGCAAAGCTGATTGCCATGGAGGAAAAGACCGCTCGCTGATCAAATCAGTGCCGGTGAAGTGCCCGACAAAAAAAGAGACCACCTTTTATCTTGTAAATTTTTGTTTCTAAAAACTATAAAAACGTAAAAAAACATTGAATGTTTTTGGCTCAAATAATTATTTATTAACTTAATTTTAATATCCATATATAATAACAAAAAATAACATTTTCGTTTAGAGTAGAAAAAATAACATTTTCGTTAAGAGTAATTTTTTTGGATTTGTTTTTCAAGAATGTTGCATTTTATACGTGGACAAAATAAAGAGACCGCTATCTTAGTTGGCACTGCAATTTACTCTATTTTCTCCGTTAGACGAATTATGTGTTTTGTTTATATACTGTGTTGTGTGACATTGTAATACGCGTTTGTTTCATTCGCTTATTGTTTCTTAACTGAGAAAATTCGCGTGTTAACATGGCTAGAAAACAAACTTGTGCACAAATACGAAAATTAATTATAAAAGATATACAGAAAGGTTCTTCGCAAAGAAAAATAGCAGCAAAATTTGAAGTAAGCAAAACTCAAGTGCAAAAGCTGTGGAAAAAGTTTCGAGAGACTAGTTCTGTTGCGGATAGAGCAGGAAGAGGAAGAAATCGAAGTGACTACAGATCGAGATGATTCTCGTTGTACGAGAAATTAAGAAAAATCCATGATTAACGGCACGTTCAATTAGAAAGAACTTCCAGCTGAATGTATCAAATAAAACTATTGAGTGAAGACTCCGTGAAGCAAATTTTCACAGCCGACTTGCACGAAAACGACTCTTTATCAACAAGCGTAATAAAATAAAACGTCTCAAATTTGCAATAAAGTACATAGACATGCCAATTGACTTTTGGAAAAAAGTTGTATGGTCCGATGAAAGTAAATTTGAGCTATTTAATCGGAAAACAAGGCTTAGAGTATGGATAAAATCCGGAGAGAAGTATCAAGAGCGTCACTTGCAGCAAACAGTAAAATATGGAGGAGGCAGTATTATGATTTGGGGTTGTTTTGCTTGGCCAGGAGTAGGAAATTTAGTAAAAATTGATGGTACATTAATGGCAGATAAATATTGGGTTGTCCGGAAAGTTCGTGCGGATTTCTCAATAGATGTCGTTCAAAGGCGAATTTTACAAGTTTATGTCGATGTGATATGTCAAATGCTTTCGTGTTTTGATTAGTGACATTTCAACGCATACTTAGTGATATTAATTATCCCAATAAATTAAAAACTTTTTACTTGACATTAGTTTAGAGATGGAAGGAAATAACGTGTTTTTTCGATGCATAATGCTTTTTTATTTCCGTAAAGGAAAGAACGCGACACAAACTCGAAAAAAAATATGTGCCGTATACGGGGAAGATGCCGTAAGTGATCGCATGTGTCAGAAGTGGTTTGCTAAATTTCGTTCAGGAGAAATGAATATTGAAGATGCTCCTCGCTCTGGTCGGCCAGTCACCACTGATGTCGACCAAATAACAGCTTTAATCGATTCCGAGCGGCAGATCACAGTTCGGGAAATCGCAGCGAGGTTAAACATTGGCAAATCAACTGTTTCCGAACATTTAAACAAGCTCCAGATGGTAAAAAAGCTTGATGTTTGGGTGCCGCACGACTTAACTGAGAAAAATCGTATTGACCGCATTTCCATCAGCGATTTGCTATACAAACGCAATGAATACGATTCATTTTTAAAACGCATCATAACAGGCGACGAAAAGTGGATAATTTATAATAATGTCGAGCGTAAAAGGTCGTGGAGCAAGCGAGGTGAACCGCCATTAACCACTTCGAAGGCAGGCTTACATCCGAAAAAGGTAATGCTCTGCATTTGGTGGAATTGGAAGGGGATAGTATATTATGAGCTACTACCGGACAACGAAACCATCGATTCGGACAAGTACTGTTCACAGTTGGATAAATTGAAGATAGAAATCGCCAAAAAGTGTCCGGAATTGATCAATAGGAAAGGCGTCGTTTTTCATCATGATAACGCCAGACCTTATGCAAGTTTGCAGACTCGCCAAAAATTATTGGCGTTTGGCTGGGATGTTTTGCCTCATCCACCGTATTCCCTCGACATTGCACCCTCGGATTTTCATTTATTTCGGTCGCTACAAAACTCAATTAATGGTTTGAACTTTGCTTCTTTGCAACTCCTCAAAAACTACTTGGACAGCTTCTTCGCCGAAAAAACCCAAGACTTCTATGAGAGAGGAATTATGAAATTACCCGAAAGATGGAAAAGTATTGTGCAAAATAATGGTGCATATATCACAGAATGAAATAACTTTTAACAACAAAATTTTTTCATTCGAATTTTGCTTAAAAATCCGCACGGACTTTCCGGACAACCCAATATATTGACATGCTTCGTGAAAATCTAGAGATATCATCACTTCGAATTGGATTGGAAGATGATTTCGTTTTTCAACAAGACAACGATTCCAAGCATACGTCAATAAAAACTCAAAGATTCTTCAAGTCAAACAGAATAAAATGTCTCGATTGGCCTCCACAATCACCCGATCTTAATCCCATCGAAAACCTATGATCAATTTTAGAAAAGATCGATAAAACTGGGGTGACAAACAAGGAAAATTATTTCGCAGCGCTGAGGAGAACTTGGGAGGAACTAGATGAGAAATATCTTCAAAATCTCGTGGAAAGTATGCCAAAAAGACTCCAAGCAGTGATCAAGGCAAAAGGAAGCCACACCAAATATTAAATTTAGTTTTTGTTCATTTATTTTCATTTTTCTTTTTGAAAATTAGATGCGGTCTCTTTATTTTGTCCACGTATAAAATGCAACATTCTTGAAAAAAAAGTCCAAAAAAATTACTCTAACGAAAATGTTATTTTTTGTCATATGAATATTAAAATAAAGTTAATAAATAATTATTTGAGCCAAAAACATTCAATGTTTTTTTACGTTTTTATAGTTTTTAGAGACAAAAATTTACAAAATAAAAGGTGGTCTCTTTTTTTGTCGGGCACTGTATATTCGCGTGCACTGCATGCTGACTTCCGACTAGCTTTCGGTAAGAAATGGCACCGCAGAGCACAACGCGATAGAGTGACCACATCACTTAAGATCCTTTTGGTAAATATTAATATCCCCATTGTGTCAAATAACAGTGGTGATGGACCCTAAATAGGACCGTCAGTCGAGGAGAGTGGGAGCCCTACGTCTAAACGAATTAAGGGGGGGGAGGTAATCGGAAGGTGCTAGAAAAACCCAACTGCCCATCGAAGTCACCTTTTCTCGGCAAACCCCTTGATAAGGTTATAGAATTCACCGGGGAAGGAAAGAGCTGGGAGGGGGGAACCAAGGATGGAGTCTGTGAAATCAGATCCTTGCTCATAGGGAGAGGTCTGATTTCACAGACTCCATCCTTGGACCCTCGACAGCACAGTAACCCCACGCAGAAGAGAAGTATGAGTGGGCGCGGGAAGATTGGCGTAGGCCAGTTCCCGCTCCAAAAGTAATTAACAGTTCCCAGAGCGCGGGCTACGAAGGCGATGAGGCATTGCAAGAGAGGATTTTTTAGTGTGGATATACTTGGATCACGTTCCGTCCGGGGATTCCCACGTAACTCACGGGGCGGTCCTGCGGGTATACGTAACGCATTTTCCCTTACCCTCGTAAATAA